AACTCTTCATAGGTTAGGAAACCACTTTCTTGAACCAAAGAGGCATGCTTTGCTACTTTTTCTGGCAACTTGTTAATTACAGTTTGTGTATGGTTTGAAATCTGTTGACCCATGGTGAAGTTCTTCACCTCAATTCTGTAGAGAGAAGTTCTCATTCACTTGTAGAGTCTCTGCCAAAAATATTTGAGAGTTACATTTGTGTGTTTATGAATGGCTACTCCCACACTTTCTTTTAGTCTACAGTAATTATTCCACTAGTAACACAACCTGAATAGTTAGATCAGAAACAACACAGAACACTTCAAAGAGTCTGGAATGTGGCATTATACTCTTGCTAAAAATGAACTATTTTGCTTACAGCAATACTTGTATTAAATGGAGATAACTTTCCCCACAGATTCAGCACCAACACACACATATATAAATACATCCAAAGGAATGCGAAAAAAAAATCTTAAGATGACAATGGTAATTTATGACAATCTTTGTTTATTCTAAATATTTATGCATGTGAATATCAGAATGTCTGCAAATAAGCACACAATGTCTGTTTATACATAGACATCACATTAGGAATCAGCTTTCTTACATCAAACTTACACTGGCAGATCAAAAAAACTCCCACAGCATGCTGAAACTGGTAAGCCAAGGAATCCATGTCAGTATAAACCAATTTAGAGAGCTCCCTATCTGCACAAAACGCTCAACTTGAGGCTGTATTACAGAACTGACTTGCTCAAATGTCTCCAACTCCAACTTACTTTATCTTTCCTTCACACCCAAATCTTTTTCCCCAAAAGTCTGCTGAAGGATTAATGCCATGCCCTCTGAGTATTTATCTACTTACTCCCCTTGATCCCCCTGCATTTGACTTCCCCCAAAATGCCTCTCTGTAGAGCTCATTGTTCATCACACAAACCAGCTGTGTCAGGCCCTTTTAAGACTTCTACAGCTAGAGGTTTGCGAGGGCAAGCGAACTGCAGAACATCCACCTAAACTCACACATGGAGCAGTCTGGCAGGAGCTGTGTTACAAACTCCTGAAGGCAGACACCACAGAGAAAGCAGCACTTTGCCCTGCAGGTAGCTGTAGCAGCACTTGGGCTTAACCCCGCCCAGAACAAAATTTACAGCTGTTGAGATCTCACCCCGGTGCCAGAAAAACACAGCACACCAAGCAACAATACTGAAGTACTATGTAATTTCACCACAGTAAGCTTCCAATGTGTGGCTGGAATTGTGACCAATTTCTGCTCCCACACAGATATGCTCCCCCTCCAGCCACTTTTCCCGTTCCCGATAAGGCTCCAGTCGCCTCCTGCCCCGCTCTCCGGGGAGTGTTTGGTGAGCACACGCCCAGGCCACACACGTCAACAGCACAACCTGTCACCTTGCAGACACCTCCTCCCGGATCTCCCGGGCTGGTGCCCCCCCGAGCTTCTCAGGGAGCACCGTGCCTCCTGCGGGCCTGCCGAGCTCAGCACCTACACCCATCACTGAAAAGATTGGGGACAAACACCTGCGAGGATGTCTGCAGAACTGGGTATCGGGAAAAGTTTCACGCCGAGAATGGTCGAGCACTGAACAGGCTCCTCAGGGAATGGTCACAGCACCAAGCCTGAGAGAGTTCAAGCGGCGTTTGGACAACACTCTCAGGCACATGGGGTGACTCTGGGGGTGTCCTGTGCAGGGCCAGGAGCTGGACTTTGATCCCTGTGGGTACCCTCCAACAAGGCTCTACGAAATGTTCCCTATTGTTCACCCTTCAAGACCCCACACACCCCGCGTCACCCGCAGACTCACGAGGCGCCCCGAGCGGCGCGGACGGCCCCGAGCTCAGCCCCTCACGGCCCAGGCGCGCCCCGCCCGCCCTCTCCCGGTGCCGGCCCTCAGCGCGGGGCGCGGGACGGGCCGCGCTCAGCCCGGCTGCGTCACGGCCGCCCCGCCCGCTCCCCCGCGCCGCGCAGGCGCGCCCTCGGCGGCGGCGCGCGGGGGTGACGCAAGCGCGCGGCTCGCGCCGTTGCCCGGACACGGCGGACGCGGGGCCGGAGCGGGGCCCGGGCGGCGCTGCCCTCACCGCCGCTCTCACAGCGGCCCCGGCGCCGCTCACAGCCCTCGGCCTCCTTCCCTCCGTCCTGATCCCGGCTGCAAGGCCACTGCACCCAGGGCAGCCCGCGGTGGCGTTGTCGCTGAGCGGAGCGGGCCCCGCCAGAACATCCGTAGGAGCGCAGGATCGGTTAGGTTGGAAAAGACCTCTGAGATCATCGAGTCCAACCTGTGACCGAACACCGCCCTGGCTCTTAGACCATGGCACGGAGTGCCACGTCCAGTCGCTCCTTAAACACCTCCAGGGACAGTGACTCCAGCACCGCCCTGGGCAGCCCATTTCGATGTCTGATCGACCTTCACGTGAAGAAATTCCTGCTACTGTCGAACCTGAACCTCCTCTGGCACAGCCTATGTCCTCTGATCCTGTCGCTGCTTTCCTGGGACAAAAGACCGACCCGCTCCTGGTTACAGCCTCTTTTTAGGCAGTTGTAGGGAGTGATAAGGTCACCCCTGAGACTCAGCCTCCACAGGCTAAAAACCCCCAGTTCCCTTATCATAATTTTGCTCCCGACCCTTCTCCAGCTCTGTTGCCCTTCTCTGGGCTCACTCCAGCCCTTCAATGTCCTTCCAAAGGAGCCCAGAACAGGACACAGTACTCGAGGTGTGGCCTCACCAGTGCCCAGTAAACGGGGACAATTCCTGCCCTGCTCCTGCTGGCCACACTATTATCCATTCTGACACACAGCAGAAGTGCTGTCTAGAGCTGGTTTGTGTAAGAAACACTCTGTAATAAACGGGACACTTTTCACCTTGACCCTGACAAAACTGGGATCACTTCTCACCTTGCTGACCCCTCAGCAGATACACACTGGTGCTGCACTGTCCTGGACTCATAGTGCCTTCACTCTTAACTATGAGCTCCATTAAATAGTGCTTTAAATGATGCTTAATGGAGCTGAGTGCCTGGCTCAGTGGGATCATCCCAGGCCACAGTTGCTGGTGCAAATCCTGGTCTGCAGGGAGGATGTGGGCGGTGGATGTGAGTGGCAAAGGCCAATGCTCATTGACCTTTTCACAAAAAAAACCCAACACCCATAAACGACAACAAGTCATTGAGAAACAGACATCCCAGAACATCCTCTGGGTCATCCACATCCTGATACTGCAATATTTAATTCTACTCTTTTTTTTTTTTCCTTAATTTTAAGAGGAGAAAAGGAGTAGTACTTCCCCTTCCTGCCTGCTTCTGTTCACACATGGATACACGTACTTCCCACGCCAAAGGCATTCCCATATTCTAGACAGGGATTGGGCTGGACTGGAAACCTTTGCTGTATTTCCTGCAGGCCAAGCACCCCTTTTGCCTAAGGTCAGCAAACATCTGTAGCCTCAGTGTGGGAATCTGAGTGGTGTTAGCATCAAGTGACAAGTACTGACTGTGCTCTCCTGCTCGGTGGGATGAGTTATTTGTCCAAGGTGCTTGAGCAGCTCTGGCACACCAAGGCGCTTCAGAACTGTTGAGAAGATCTTGTTAAAAAAAAAAAAAAAGCACAACACTTAAGGAAAAATCTGAAGCACAATGAAGAATTTCTCTTAAGTTTCTGCTACCTCTAGTTAAGGGTTTGGTGTTTGACACTCTTGGTCTACATACTTAAATGTTTCCTGTTTGCATTGCAGTAGTGCATCCCCTGCAATTCCATTAAACAATGAGCAGGAATGTTTTGTACTTTCCAATTCCAATGTGACTGAGTTGTGCTGACTGCCTAGAGACAATATCAAATAGCATACTTGTTGATTAGTACTTAGAGCTGCCTTTGTTCCATACAGAGCAGTGTAACAGCTCCTTTAGCCCCTGTGATAAATTGTGTAGTGGAATGGAGGGGCAGATCAAACCATGTGCATTGGTCAGGTAGCAGTGGGAAGGTCAGAATGAATGCTGAGTTTTTAAGGTACATGATAAAATAAGACAGAGATTAAGACAATATCTTATTAAAATAGGATTTTTTTTTTAGCAAGTAAACATTTCAGGGGAAAAAAGTGCCCTTATTTAGCTCTAAAACAGAAGAAACATTATAATTATCTCTTGGCTGTAGGGAAAAGAACACAGAAACAGGTAATTTCTAATCTCTAAAAACATGGAAAAGAGAGGCAGAATGGAAATTTAAAAAATTTCCCAAACTACCTGGAATCCACCACGTTTGCCTGTGTCCTCAGGCCCATTTGCTACTCTGGCACCTTCATGACTGGTGGCTGTGGCTCTTCCTGATGGCCTTACTTGTGCTGTCTACTCCTCGCAGAGAACTTCCATTCAGGACACAAGGTGTTCCTGTGATGCTTTGCAAGGAGAGGAGTACCTTAACTGGCTGGGAAAGCTGTCCTCTGTTGCACATTTTTCTGCTAAAATTCTGCTGATGGACATCTGAAATGAGCAGTTTTTACAGCTGCACTGAATCACTTGGAGCCATAAAATATTTCTGAACTACCAAAAAAAAAAAAAAAGGAAAAAAGAGAAAACAAAAACAATCCAGGAAATCTCTTAAGTATAATGCTAGAAATGCACTATAAATCATTACTAGTGGAATGTATAAACACTGGGCATTTTAAAATTTATGTGAATGAAAAATATCCAAGTTCATAACCCAGTATCCTACACTGTTGAAAACACAATATAGGTGACCAGTTGTATTGCTATTTTGCTATTTTAAAAATTATTATTATTATCTAAGACTATGTTTTTTAAGCTGCCTGATGGAGGAAAAAGACTTCCTTTGGCATAACAACCTCCTTCAAACCTAAAGATAAATTATCTAAATTCTTTATTCAGGAAAATATTTTATAAACTCCTAGTGTCGTTATGACAACGAATTACTTCTGTAATGTTATGGTTATAGGAATTCTTTTTACCATGAGACAGCTTTCATGAGAATAAATTGTCCAGACAAACATATTCACCACAGTTTATTTTTTAGGGAGCACCGCAGACATCCCATATCACCTTTATTATGAAAGCCACACTTAAATACACACAAAAGATCTCCAGTAAAAGTCTTGCTCAAGGATTTTTTTGTCCCACTCTGTCAAATATCTCATGCGGAAGAATGATAATGATTTCAATAAATAAAACAGTAAATTCTGATACAATGAAGGTATCAAAGTAAGTTATTCATTGCTGTGTATATACACACACACATCTCAGCATTTTTGTACCCTTCTTTGGGCATTTGAATGACAGTGGGTTAATCCTTTGAGTTTTCACTCCCTTGTAAACAGAACTGTTTCTTCTGTTTGTAAACAGACATTTTTTAAAGCAGCATGCAACTACTGAATGGAAATAAGCTAATTTACATGAGGAAGAACTACAGTGCCAGTTTTTATTTTAGGCATTAGGCTAGCAGACATCCTCCAGCAAGATATGAAAACCTTTTCATTATATACTGATCTAAATTCCATGCAAATAGTTAATGTAGTGCATGTTGTTAATAGCATATTCCAAATTGCTTCTTTATTAAAGATGAGCTGTAATATGGATTTGTAGAATTTATTTCAAGTAAATAGGATATCATATTCTTCTGCAAGAATATTTGTTGCCAAAGAAGTAATTATTAAAAAACCAAGGTTTCATATGTTAAAGGTAGAGAAAATATAAGTATTTACAAATCACTTATGTTTAAAACCACTACTAAGCCCTGTGTGCTTTATTTTATACTTCCATCAAGAACTGTACATTCTTTCCTTTAAACTTCTGCTTCTAGACATTTTACTGTTGGCTCAGGCTTAGTTTTACACTCTTCTACCTTATTTCCATTATTCTGTGTTTCCTTCTCAGGTGTTTGGTCATTTGATTTTGTCTCTTTGAGAGCAGTAGTTACAACTGTTTCTTTTTGCTGATTCTTGTTTAAAAATGGTAAGGTTTTCTTGTACCTTTAAAAAGAAAAAAGATAGTAAAGCAGAAATACTGACATAGTTTGGTAGCATCACTCAAACAGCTAGAATTCAATTACCATACTCAAGCAGAAGTCTCTCAGAGGATAGTGGCATGCTACATCACTGTGCTTTTTCCAACAGCGTGCTTTCTAAAGAAATATTTTGGTTGTTTTTTTTTTTTTTTTTTTTTTTTTTAAACGGACAATGTATGTTCAGGATTTGTGGTACACAAAGATACAGCTGTCTGGGCTGGGGTGGGAGAACTGCACACTTTTTAGTAGCATTTAATGATGCACTGTGTTGAAGGTCTTTAAGTTTGACAAATGAGTTCAACAATTATTTTTTTCTGAGCAAAATCATAGTGCAATAATGAAAAATTTCACTTGAGTGTGACATAGGAAAAAGAAAAGATAAAGCTGGTTTATGTATGAACAGATGCACATTTCAGTGTTGCTATTTTGACACAATTGGAAATGTTTCACACTAGGCATGATTGACCAATTAAAAGTAGGCAATATTATTTTGTGTTTCTTTTCTAAAGCAGGGAGTGGCAACAGCAACAACAAACTGATCTGCATAAAAACAAGGTTCAATATTTTTTAAATTTGTGCAACACTATTATGTCATCATTGCTACTTCTCTGTTCTTTAGTTAATTCACTCCAAGAGAGGGGGAAAAAAAAAAGGCAACTTACTTTTTGATATAACAGACTGCTAGAACAACAGAAATAATGAAGAAGATGATTGCCAGTACAAGAAGTGCAGTGGGGATACCTGGAGATAAAAGTGATACAAGCACAGGGTTTTTATTTATGTACTTAAAGCTGATGTCCTGAAGGCTTAAGAGCAAAAATATAGACTCTTCTAAAACCAACCTATTATGAGAGTACATACACGCGAACTGAAGAATAGAATATTAGGAAGATCAAAAGGTGAGTTACTCCTGTTCATTTCTTTCAGGATAGCCTAAAACTGGTATTTAAGCAATCCCTGACAGATATTTGTCTAATCTGCTCATTGGAGAGTTTTTACAAGCTGCTTGGAGAGCACATTCTTGTTATTAACTATCCTTACAGTTGGCATGCCTTGCCTCATATTTGGTCTGTTTCTCCACTGCTGTGCATTAGGATTGCTTACTCACACCTCGTATCTCAAGAGCAATTCTCCTTAAAACCAAAAGAAGCCAAGAAAGTTTGAAGAGCCTGGTGAGTTTACCATTACACTGAGAGTGTTTGCCAAGAATTTTTCAGAATTTTTTTTACCCCAATTCACATTAACCAGAACGAACTTACGCAATTTCACATTAAAATTTATCATAAAGTATAAAAGCAGATCTTAGTTCTTCTTAAAAACTATTTTAAAATCCTCTGCTCCATAAGCCTTGTTCTGCAAAACCAAAACACTCCTATTCTGCCTCCAGGTTCAGCTATATCAAAATGGACACCGGAGAAGCAAACAAAAATAGCAGTGAACAGTTTGACTACTGACTTCTACATAAATAACTGTATTCATTAAGTAACTACCACATAAGGCCTTTACCTCCAAAAACAACAGCATCATTCTTAAAGGCCAGGTGGGGAGTGTGCTTGGGAGAGTCAGTGGCCGAGTGCTCCTCTGGCACTGGGGTGGTGGTGGGCCCCTCTGTTGGTGAGAGTGTTTCAGTCACGCACACCACACGAAATCTCTTTCTCGGGAATTGTTCTGACTCAGTCACAGTCACAGCAGACACTGCTGTGATGTTCTCAGTCAAATCAGAGGCTGAATATGAAGCTAAGTCTCTTGATGCAGTTGATAAAGGAAGTGTGGTTGTAGCTGGGTCTGGTTGACAGGAATTAATCCGGACATCTGCAGCAGGGAAAATAAATACATAAAAGTTATGTTGGATGCCAGTTTTGTACTTACTGCACACACAATTATTGAAATTGTTCCTCAGTCTTTCCTTTCTGGAATTTTTTTTTTTGTTGTTGTTCACAAAAGTTTTACCCAAACCTGGCAAATATATCCTATTTCAAATATGTGGTTACAACCTAGATTATACAGCTTTTATCATTACTCACACAGTTACACACTCCTTTGAGCAACCATGGTACTCATTTTATGATTCCATACCAATGACTATATCCCTCATGAACAGTACTTAGAGTAATGCTGCACATAAAACCCAACAGTATAACCTCCCACAGAGCAGGGTACCCAATATTCAAAAATATTTCAATTATATTCTATATATGTTCAAAATACATGCATGTGCTGTTGATACTTGAAAAAATAATTTGATTTCCGGTAAAATAATGTAGCCCATAAAAGTTTCAAATAAATCAGGCACCAGTGTGAGACAATAAAAAGATTTGATTGTAAGTGGGGAGGAGAGGATGGGAAGTAAAAAAACTTCAGGTTTGAAGAAAAATAAGTAATTTCCAGAAATTAAGTAATTTAATAGAAGTAGGTGTTGTGTATATAAAAATGTAGGTGCAAGAGAAGTTTTTATATGGAATTGGAAAAGCTGAGCGCTGAATCAGGCTCCTGTGAAAATGTGAAAATTCTACTTTGCTAGTGAAATTCTGTATTATGTAAAGCTATAAAAATTTCACTGAAGTAACAACCAGGTTAACATAAATAACAGGGAAAAGATGTGTGTGCTGTTTTCCAAGTGAATCCCCGTGGGGAGTCTGATGACGCAGTCACCTTCACAGAATGAAATGCCAAAGGGCAGGGGCTTGACACTTTTTCCACTATGGTTTTTCAAGAGCTTTTGGCAAGTTTTTTGGCACAAGAAAATTGACAAAATGAGCTTCTGACAAATATTTCGGAATGAAATGGATAGAAATGCCTAAAACAGGCAACAGTTTGGAAATTAAGATAAAGGACTGCAGAATCATCCCAATATGAAATATACATTAAATGGTTTTCTAACCATTGAGCAAGCTTAACTTCCTTCACACACTCTAACAGCATATATGTATTTACTTTCTTTTAATTCAAGCAAAACAAAGCAAATGATTTGGAGCTACTTGCTGCCTCTGTAGCATTACCCAATCTAAGCAACACTTTTGATGCAGAATAACACATTTCACGGAGTGAATCACCATGTGGCACAGGCCTTCTCTCTACAGCTTTATCCTCAGTCTCTTTGGAGCCTCCAATGTTCACAGTCACCAGGCAGGGTGTCAGGTCTTTACATCTTTGCATCTCCATATTTCTCCTGCTTTCCAACCCTTGTTCACACAGTGTTGCTGAAAACTTTCAGGGTTTTTAACATATCCTCTTGTTATCTAAAACTCATTGGCAAAGTCTACAACTGATTATAAATAATGAAATGACCCTTTATTTGGTCTAATTATTGGGATATTTATAATGTAATAACCATAGAGATAGGACGCAAGTAGAAGCACAACATCTCTAGTTACTTATTTTTAGTAGAAGCCGTTAAGAAACAATATTCATATGTTGTGCTGAGATCTAACTTATATCAAGTTCTACTGTTGGACTTCAGTCTGTAAATAGCCAGTGAGGGGAAGGGCAGGTCTTTTCACACTTAAGGTGATTTAAATTTAAAAGAGCTGTTGGATTTTACTGATTAGGAATCTAATTAAGTTTATGGTCTCTTGGCAGTTCTGGCTTATAATTTAATTTGACTTAACTGATAGACCTCCTTTTATAAAAAAAAAAAAAAAAATCAAATTTTTCTGAAGTACCCCACTCTTAGCCTTTTTTGCAAGAGCAGACACACTAAACACAGACACCCTGGTTAAAGATTCAATCACTCTCTTTTAAATTATCATGCCCAAATAATCAAAACATATTAAAAGCATTGTGTCAACATTAAGTAATGGTAAAAACAACTCTTCCTCAAGAGCTTTAATGGTAGCACCACATTATTAATTGGGATTAACTGAATTTACCTTTTGCATTTCTTGGAAGTTTCTGAGCTAAGAACAGCTTCACAATGTTTAAGACTGGGGGAAAGGGTCAACAAATTATAGGAAATTACTCTCTTTTATGATTTTTTTCATGCAGATTTTAAAAAATCTAATATAATCCAAAACACCCAGAAAAGGCAGTTGTCATGCTTACATACCTGAGGAATTGAAGCAGTAGATATGAAATTTTTTATCCTTGCCAGCATTCCATTGTGCTATTCCAGTTTTTCCCTGACCACATTTCTGGTTGGATGTTATCCGAGGAATAACAGCAAATCCATCTTTCACCCATCCATAGCTACAACAAAAAGGATCAGTGCTTTTAGTATGAGATTTGTCACCAGCCTCAGCTGTATGTGAAGGTGTCCACTAAAGGTAGTGGGTCACCAAGTGATGGCACTTACTTGCATGTTTCAAAGCCATGTTTCAAAGCCTCTTCAACTTGTATTTTACTTGCCAACTCTAGGCTGAATTGATTACATCCATTACTTGCTTCTGAGAAATTCGCTTTCTGATCAAGATAAATTCCTATACCCTTGATCCTGCAAGGTGAATTAATGGAACCTGTAATTAAGCCATATAATAGTCAAGGTTAGTATTTGAATATTAACATTTATTCCTCATGAAGAATTTAAGATAACTGAACATTTTAAAAAGTTTCTAACTTGAGGACAGCAGAAAACTAATTTCTAACATAAAAGACATTTTAAAAATAGAATGTATTTTTTAAACAAAATAGTCTGAGATTTCAAGAGGCTTGACTGTCATTAGACTAAATGCATATAAAGCATTTTTTTTCTTTTCTTTTTAAAAATAAATTAAAGCTAGCTGTTGCACCAAAGCATTGATTTTGTTATTACACCCTTCTTATTGAGATGGTAAGTTATATAACAACAAAGGAGTTACACATAATTTTTCATGGAATTAATATACCAATAAGAAAATAAAAATATTTTATCATTTCTGATGTTCCTTATTCCTCCTATTTTTTTTTCCTAGCTTTGCATGATGGTTCCATTCCCCAGCCACTGTCAAGTGTTCCATTTACTGTGTGTGGCAGGGAGCAGGAAAAGAGGACATAGGCCAGGTGAAGTTAACACTTTTCCAGGCAGTTCATCCAGCTTTTTAAACAGCTACAGCTGGCACACTCTTTGTGACACCTGCACCAGCAAGTGCATAGCTCAGGTTACACCTGCTCTTCTTTCTCATCTGTGTTGAAAGCATGGGACAAAATTCAGGACTTGGCACAATAAGGAGAAAGGGTATTACTAGTTTGCTTTTGTATTTTACTGGGAGCATTTACTGGAAAAAAAAATTCTTTTGGAGTTACATACAGTAATTGTCCTGTCAAATGAAACACTTCAGCATTTCATTACAGACATCTCAGACAATCACCAGCCACAGGTGTTACTTACTTGCTCAGTATGTTTGTCAGACTGAATTCACTAGGTGTGTACACTAATGTGCATTTCATAAAATCTGTGCTTCAGAATGCAGGCAGTCCATAAACTCTCAAGGCAGGATGAAGTGATTCCTCCAAATCCACCCCATGACCTCTCAACAAGACAAATTAAACTGAATTTTATGAATGAAAAGATAAAACTGGCAGCCAAGCCACTCTTGTGATGAGAAGGGAACAAAGGACTAAGCTTGTGTGGAGCGCTAAGAAACCAGACAGGTTTTTAGTTCCTGCTCCCATTGGATGTGGTGGGCTGGAAATGGCTTTTGGAAAATGATGCATCTCTGCTATCCTTACATTTAGTTTAAATATTTGGAAGAGTAATCTTTGAATCGGGTGGCTTTATCTCAGCAGAGAGGGGAAGCCACTGAACCCTTGAGCAGTCCCCTCAGACAAACTATGGCTGCATCCAGCCCTGAGCTGAACACAATTCAAGCCCAAACACATTGCAGGGGGATGCAGAGAAGCCCTGGTGCTCAATGAAGGGGTGTGTGTTGTTAGCAAGGACTTCAAATCTATCTTCTTTAGTCTATTATTTTCCTATCTTCAGATTTGAGCCAACACAACTTTTAAAAAATGTAATGTTGAGAAAGAAAGCTTCTCAATGACCAGTTCTACAAATTTCAAATAAAGCTGAGCAGCTGACTGAAAGGAATTTAACAAAATCTTAGAAAGTTGCCTAGGTACTGCTACACTCATTAGTTATCCAATTACAGGACAAATATTTTCATGTGTGTATTGCATGATAGATACACAGCATAATATAGAAATTCAGTGCCAGATACTTAGGTTGCAAATTATAAGAAAAGTGACTCTAAGATATGGACCAAAGTTGTGTCTTAAAATTTGCTAGGCCTTTTAAAACAAAACAATGATTCATTGATACATTTTGTAAAAGTTATGAATTTCACACTGTGAGGAAGAAATCCAAAAAGAGAACAGTAGTCTCTTCATAGCTCATTAAATCACCTCTGAACTCTGTTCTAAAGATGACGGAGTTTGTACAGGAGGCAGACTAATCCTTTAGAAGTACATTATCCTTTTTGGTCCACGAGCTGCACATAGCTGTACTTTAAGCTCTGTTCTATTTAGGCAACCTAGTATTGGCACATTCTGCTCAGTATTTTAGTCTTGGGTTACAAATTTGGTTTACTGAAATAAGTGAGAAGACCTAGACAGAAGAATCTCACAGCAAGACAAAGTTGCCATAGAACAGGAAGAAAATTGTTATGTTTTTGTAAGCTATGGATGTTGGCCCTGTTGTGTATTAGTTCCCATTTTGTTGGTTTTTTTCTTTTTTTTTTTGGGGGGGGGGGGGAGGAGGGGGAGAGCTCTTTCTCTTTGCCTTATGTCTAACCTTCACTTTGGTTTATTAGAGCTCCCTTTGGCTGCTGGTGTCAGGGAGCAGCAAGCATGAGGCTGTTCCACAAGGAAAGTGTCCTCACCAACCAGGGCACAGACACACAGCACCTCAACAGCACCACAGTGGGGATGGTGGCAGGTTTCACTGCCACCCAAAGAGCAAGACAATGAGTCAGACATCCAGAAAGTACATTTGGGAACAGCAGAAGATGGTTCTACACATACCTATAGTCTATCCTGGAGACAAGGTTACCTACAGCCTAAATCCAGAGCCTGTATGTGAAGCCCAGACAGCAAACCACTACACAAAACAACTCCAAGACACAGCTGGAGATCAGCCCTGAGCTTAACTGGAGCTCTTGGAGCCATGAGGGTGCATGAGAAGGTGCTCCAAGGAAGGGTACTTCCTCAAGCTCTCCTTTTCCCCAGTGGAAATTGCACAGTGTTGGTTTTGCTGGAGGACACTGCTGTTGTTAGGTACTCCAGTCCTGTGGAATTTCAACAGGACTTGAGCATCTAATTCACTCACTCCGGAAGTCTTTTAGTAGGTGAGAAAATCAACTGTCTGCAATAACAGTGTATGTTCTTTAACATAAATAGAACAAGCATTAAATCCTTGAAAAACAGCAAAGTATCTGGAGGCTTTTGGTGTGCATTGAGCATCTGCAGATATCCCAGCAGCTACTGCAGTAAGGATGGATTATGTCAAGTTAATAATGGAATTTGAAAGAGAACTGGTGTCATGTTTTGCTCTGGTATTTAAAATGATACAAAATGAAGTTACATTTCAACAGATCTGAGTTTAATCCTAAATGCCATACCAGATCTTTAAAATAAGCAGTTTTGTGGCATTTAGATTCAAAGACTTCAGCATTTTCAGCAATTGAATTAGACCAACAACGAAGGTTTCCCTCTATGCCAGTTTTTGTTGCACTGTATTCTTAAAGCCCTGTGGCTTCCTCTGCCAGAAACACATTTACACATGCTCCTTCCCCACTTTTTTTGTAAATCCAGCTACTTTTTTCAAGACTTGAAAAAGTGGAACTTTACATACCTGTTACAAAGTAATTTTGAGCCAGGAATGTCATAACCCAGATGAAGGACACCTTTGAGGTAACTCCAAAATAATTTGCCATTGCCACCAGCTTGGAAAACTCAGAAAAGTAGGAAATTCAAGGTAGTTTGTCTCCTGGGCTAAGGAAAGTTAAGGTATTGGATGCTGTCAGATGATGAGATGACTTCTGGAAAGCAACTTCAGCTGTCACTGCAGTGCTTCATAGAAAGAATGGCAGAGCCAGTGCGGTGACTGTCCCACTGCAGGGCGAGGTCACGGAGCGGAAATCCCTCATCACCCTTTCCACTGGCTTTCATGTGGGGATTGCTGGAAAATGTCACTGCTGCTGATTCACAAAGCACGGCTGAGGAAGGGAGATAAGGCTGTTATACTGCTAAGTCAGTAAACACTTCGAAAGAAGGTTTTCTTTTGCTGTTTTTTCCTGTTTTACTGATGAACAGATCATTATTCATGTTGTCTATTCATCTGGTAAATAAAACAAATCTTCTATCATATCACAATATGCCACACAGAATTTTTATTTTTTATTAGAACTGGAAGGGCATCTATTCCCCATTGTCCTATTAGTATTGATGGTGTAGTTTTACTTTTTTCCTTAGAGTTCCAATGCAAAATTAGTTCCTATAACACAGAGGTAATATGAAACTTAAATATTAAGAGATTTGCAGATACACTACTGTAAATGGGATTCCTTTTGAGACCACAGGTACAGAGGTTGCAGCCACGGCCATCATTGCTGCCTTTTGTGACATTCCAAAAAACAGTGATTCCCTTGGATTGATTCAAAACACAGATGGTCCTCACAGCTATAGTTTAAAAAAACTTAAGAAGTCTTAGCAGATTTTTTTTCAGAGGTTCCAATAAACACAGAGCAGGAATGGAGTTCAAGGGATGGGCTAATTCCTTCAGTGTCAGTCATGTCTGCTGTATCTGCATTATTCCTGACAGATGTTTGTCTAACCTGTCCGCAAAGATTTCCAGTGACAGATTCCTAACATTTCCTTTAATGCTCTTGTTCAGTGCCTCACTATTCTTTACAGTTGAAAGCTGTTCCCTGCACTAACTTGACTTAACTGTTCCCTGGTATAAACCTATCATTGCTTTTCCTGCTGGCAATGGACATGGAAGATAGTTTACTCCCTTATGTTACTATTTTATGTTTTAAAGAGTTGTGTCTCTGCTCCCAGTTTTCTTTCAGCTAAGAAACCCCTGCTGCCTCACTCTCTTGCTCTCTTGCCAATGTCAAGACTAATTAATAAATTGCTTTACCTGCTTTACAGTTCAGAATGGTGTCAGTCTTTTTATTTTTGCAACAGTATGACTTTCTTACATCATGTTCAACTTGTGATTCAGCAAACTTTTAGATGTCCGGTGTCTCCAGACTGTTTTCAGAGTCCTATAAACTCAAGTGTAACAGTGTAAAGTTACCTCTTTAAACTGTGGTTTGCATTTAGAAAGTCCCCAGTTAATATATGAGATAGCATTAACTTTTAATGGGGCACAAGCACATCTCCTGCAGCAGCATGTGACAGGGTTATTAGATGGTGCTCTGTAACACAGACAGGGCCTGAAGAGAATGCTGGGGGTCAGTGAGATCATGTCTCCATCAGCAGTGATGAAACGAAAATTGGGTTGTGTTTGGGTTGTAGTTTGGAAATGAATTTGGTAAAACTCAATGAGATCTTTAGACAAAGTTCTAGCCCCAATTTCTGTTCCCTCCCTTGTTGTGCTCTACTTACCTGCCCCTGCAAAGCCATGGCAAAGTCAGATACCGCAATCAGATTTAGCTCTCACTTGAAGGTTGTAAGAGGATTCACTGGCATTTACAAGGTAGAGGCAGAAACTAATTATTAGCTATTCTGTAACTCTCATGGACTATAGACTGTGGCTGTAAAATACTGAGAACATTAAACAAAATCTTTCCATTGAAAATGCTTACCTTGAACTGCTAAATATTTCCTACCATGAAGACTAATAAATAGCTGGGTTTCTGACATTTTAAAATTGTGTGCTACTTGTCCTGCCAGATCTTAACATTTTGTGCCTTGGCCAAGTTCCTTTAGTCAAACTCTTGATGTTTAGTAGGACTTCTAGCTGTAAAAATGAGATAAACACCTTTGCAACACCAAACAATATGAGCTACTTCACAAGGTCTTACAGATTAGGAGAGAGAGAACAGAATTTTAGAATGACAAGGCAAGACTGAAATAACTTTGTTTTTTGTGTGTTTCTTCCTTTTTATAGTTCAGCTGCTCCAAAATTGCATGGAAGATCACTTATCTGGACTGTAACAGTACAAAAGGTCTTTAACCTTTTGGTGTCCTCTTCATAATCAGTGTGGTAAAAAAAAACAGACCTGTACTGAATGATTAATTAGTCTTTGACCTAAGTACTTATTGTAACGTATATGAAAAATTCCCAACTTTTTATGTCAGCATGTTTTAAAATGCTGATGAGGATTACTAAACAGAAAACTACTGTTAAGGCAGAACACATGTAACTGTTCTCTACAGTCATTTCAAAAGGAACCTTGAAACCTGAACAACAGTAGAGGAAACAAACAAAAAAATAATGTTCACGTAGAAAATACAAATATCAGGGTTTTCCATGGAAACAGTAATTCCTTTCCAGGTTGCTGATGTCCTAGAGTTTGTCCCCTGGCAGAGACCATCAGAGATTCAGAACTTGAGGATTGACTCCTACCTGCTGGTCAGGCAAGTCTGCTCTGCACTAGACCCAGGCTTCCCAGAGCTCCCAAGTGCACAAAGCAGATAAAGACTCCTGACCTTTCACCCCAAATCCTTGGGTTACAGATCTCCCTTGTGACTCCCATGTTCGGCCTCCTCCAGCACACGTGGCCTCCCTCCAAAGCAGGAGTTAAACTCTTCTCAGGATGTTTCAGCTTCCTCTCTCAGCTGGTTTGTAGGGCATGGCAGGGATGAGCCTGTTTCCAAACACTTTCTCCATTGACACAGGAGTTTGCTCTCCTCTTTTGCACCATTTTCCTGAAGAACCGGAAGACTAAGAGCAAGATCCTTGGAATATGTAACAGTGTAGACAAGGCAGGACTTATTTCATGAGGACATGGCCATCAATATGTAGACAGAGCACCCCAAATCTTTAAGGTAAAGACACTGACAACTTTGAAACCATAATTTTATTTCAAAACTCAAGTATGTGATACTATACAGTACAATACCAGCACACTTGTGCAAAATCTTACAATATTACAAATTTAAATATGATACACAAAAATAGTGCCCTTTTGAAATTCCTTTTGCTAGAAACATTTGTGCTGTGCAGGAGAAACCATAAATGTGTCTTGTTAAAGCAGAAAAATAAATATTGCACCTCAAGAAAACTATTTCAGTGTTAATAGCATAAATAATAGGTCTGTTTCTTGTTATCTGATGTGATCTTCAAACACAGAAGAGGTTGTTGGGCTTTTTTTTCCAAATAAAGCAAACTAATATCCAACAGATAAAATTATATTTAGAATAGTTTTTGAGCTTAATCTAGTTTCCTATTAAACAAAAGGTGTTTTAATTAAATAACTGAAAAATACAAGCATAGCTATTTAGTGTGCTGTTAGTCATTGTGGTTTGTTACTTTTAGTGGACAGTTTGCTCAAAGTAGTTATAAAAAGAACAATTCTTTTTTTTAGTAAACTTTATCATCATTTTTGCACCCTCACTAAATTCTCTTGCCTCTTTCAGTTCATTTGTGGCTAAATTATACTTACCTCACACATGCAAGTAGTTCAGCTCAAATCAGTACAACTACTTATGGGAATTGTCCCTTTGCACTAATTCCACAAAAAGCCAGTGTGCTGAATTTTAAGAGAGGATGGAGAGCTCACTCACCCACTGACCAAAAAGACCTTTTCACATGCTTAACACTAAGCAATTAGAGAGTCCTGTTGATATCAATAACTTACGTGTACTTAAAATAAGTTGTTGGACTCACAACAGTGCAGATGTAAATAAAAACAAATTAATTCAATTACAGGCACAGTTAATTATTTTTCTTCAGGGCAGCCCAACATTTCCACAATCACATAAATATGTGCCATAATTTTTGGCATAGAAAAATCTGAATATTTAGGAGTATTTACTTTCAATTTTATTGCCTTATTAAGTTACCAATGTTATTTGTAAAGAATATTAAGTTAAAGAAGTTGATTTTAGTAAAGTATTCAAGAAACAACTGACGAGTTTCTTCAAATACTGAAAGTACATGAAAGGTCACAGTAGTTCTTCACAGTCAGAAATTCTAACTGCACCAGATTCCAAGTAATTTGCAAGAATCCTTCTCCTTATTCTTTACCAATTGCAATTTTAGACCAAATCACACTTCCCCGTTATCCTTTTTGAACTTCCTTAAGCACACATATTCCTCAATATATATACTTTAAAATTAAAAAAAAAACCCTTTCTAATTGCTTATAGACTCCCTTCCCCACCCCACCCCCCAAAAATGTGGTAGTGGTCTGCTATTTTTTTTTTTCTTTCCCCATATAAATATCTTCTACGAAACACATGGCCAACAAAAATTCACCAGCAGGATATTCGTTATTAGTGCCAGGTATGTGAGCTAAATTTCTGACTGAGTTAGAAACCTGTTTTCTTTGACAGCTTGAAGTTCAGTGTTTCCACCAAAAGACGGCAGGACAATATTGACTGTATCAGAACTGAAATTACAGTACTTCATAACACTCTTATCCTTCTGTTGGAAAACAGACCCATTTCTCAACCAGAAAATGCCAGGAGGATGCAGGACAGGAGTGCAATTTGCCATTGCGGATTTGCCATTGCGGCCGTAGCTATGGAAACACAAACATGGTTCACCTTCCCTCAGAAGTGATGCTCAGCAGGTACAAATGGCCCAGACACATTTTGGTCTCAGCCCTAGGTGCTGGGTTTTGTACAGGTAATGGCTTCACCATTTTCAAATTGCTTGTCCAAAAATTTCAGGCTTTCGCATTCTTGTGTAAGAATTCACAACTCCCAAATAGGCAGAACTGGCAAAAAATCTGGGCAAAAGATTATTCTAGCCTGAGGTGGTAGTTCAGCTTTGGAAGTGTATCAGATCAGTTTTGGTCTTGGCATCAGATTCTGAAAATGAACTACTGAAAACACACAGTGAGCTCTCCTAAGGCCTCACTGCTACCACGGCCTGATTCATGCAGGCACTGGTTGGGTTCTGGTTGCTCTCAGGGCTCTGTTCCTGCTGCAGATCTCAAAGAATGCCTATTTCCAGTGTTAGCAGGAGGGCAGAGTCCACTTGGTGTGGTCACCTCCATACAGAGGTTTGAAGAGCTTTTGTTTTCTTTTTCAATTAAGAATTGAAGATTGCTTCCCATGTCCAAGACGGCTGTGTTTTGGACTTAGGTAGCACATGGACCCTTCCAGGCATCTACCACTTTTGGCTGTAACCAGTACTGACTCTGAGTGGCATACATACATTTTTGGAAACTTTTATGTATCAGAAGTTTCCAGACTTAATGGATGGTATCAGCTGCGCCACCTAGATCCCATTTTAGGTTCTGTTGAGTACCCCATTTAAAAAAAAGTGGTGGTCCCATTCTTAAAGCATATCATAAAACACATTTATGCATGTACTTAGCATTCCATTTAAATAATCATATAGATAATTCCTCTTACAAAATTACTTTAGCAGCAAGGCATTTGGTCTTAGAATATAATTATATTCTTCCATGGAAGTGCTTCTATTTCTACCCAATAGCCATGAATAAGGAAATTAATTAGCCTTTTAAAACCCACAGGACTTCAATGCAATTAGTACTTCAACAATCAACAGTAAATTCAGGAAATGCAAAGTAAAGCATTAACTGCAAATGCAGGTTTTATGATGGTCTTCAAAATGTCAATGTCCTGTGCAAATCATTCTTATAAATGTTTTGCAGGTTGCTGATTACTGCCACAGCCTTACCATGATTCAACACTACTTTATTTCTACGAGTCCTTTACAATAAGAGGACAGACAGGATTATTTATCAGATTGGCATCTTAGCAAGGAATGCTCACCATGGATCCCAAACCTGGTGGTGTAGAGTAACTCACTTGCCTAAGGGATCAGTGGAACAGCCACAGGGATGACTAAGCACTACCTTTAACAACGGTGCTCTAATACACAAACTTGCTCAGGGACCGTAAGGGCGTGGTTGTCCCTCTGTTATTCCGTGCGTTGCTCCTGTCGGAATCCTGAGTTCCACCAGGAATACTGCTGGGCTGCAGAGCAGCTGGCCTTCCCTTCAGGTGCCTCTGACTTTTCATCACAGGAATTGTAGGAATGGTAGATTCCCAACACCACAGCAAAAATAACTATTGCAGCCACCACAAGCCACACCACATTCCAGTGTTTGCACAGTTTGGGGTACAGGATATATAAATAATTAATGATGACTTCAAGTCTGCTGTAAAATAAAAAGAAAACTATTATATATTAATCAAATGCAAATTTATTATTTTAAGCTTTTCAATTTGGAAGGTGTCATAGGTGGTGCACCATCTTTTTTCCCTATACAAAAACCTTGTCAAAGAAGAATCAAACTCTAAAGTTCTTTTATGAAGAGCTGTACACTCAGATATTCCAACTCCAACTATTCCATATGAGTAATATTTGTGAGACAGCTGGAGACTAAACTTGACTCCTATTTCTCCCACCTGTGTCAGCTGGCACATCTCAGAGCTTGGTATCATGCAAATTCTGCACTGTTCATACCTTGATCAACTAAATTAAGCATTGGAATATGTGGTAAACATTTCTTTCCAAGAGTGTCATGACTAATGAGATGGTTGCTCTCTGAAGGCAGCTGAAATCTGAATTCAATAGATGTTTATAGCTGTAATGGTTATGGAATGGAAATGAATTCTTCTGGATTAGGTAAGGATCCCTGCCTTAACCTGGGACTGGACACATTCCTTGCTTTGGCCAGCATTCAATGCCTCTAATGTACAGACAGAGAGCACTG